ACCCGTGTACAGTACTTGTGGACCCGTGTGTAGTTGAACCCGGAACTTGTGTTCTGAAAGTTGTATATTTAGCTGTTGTATATAGTCTGGTCGCCAGGTCGCCGGGTCTTGAGCTGTAGGTCTGTTGTTTCGGAGTCAATAGCAGTGGTATAGGTCGTAGCTGCTACAGTGTCGAAGGGTCAAGGTTGTAGCTGCTACAGTGTCGAAGGGTCAAGGTCGTAGCTGCTACAGTATCAAAGGGTCAAGCCCACAGCCTTCCGGAACTTCCGGAAGTGGCCTTTCGTGAGTCTTAGAGTCAGTCCGCGTCTGAGTCAGCAGAATGCAGTCCTAGCACAGTCAGCAAAGGGCAGTCCTAAGTCCTACCTGTCCTAGTCAGAGGTACCCAGTCCCAGTTGCATTTTGTCAAGTCAGCAAGTACCATGTGGGACTGTGTGCATCCCGGGCCCGACGTCAAAGTGCAGACCAACGAAGATCCGAAGTATAAATAAAGAGGCAGTGTACATTCATTCATTCATTCTGCCTGTGAGTCATGTGGAAGCGCTGCCTGTGCGTCTTGTGTACGGAGGTCTGCAGGTGCCCGAAGAGGAAGTGGGCTAAGAGGAGGAAGACGCGGCCATAGCCGCTTGTGTTGTTAGTGATAGGAAGTAGGCGGCAGCCATAGCTGCCAGTTAGCATAGTTAGTGTGAGTGTGTATGTGTGCGGGACATCCAGGGAGATCCAGAGTTGCATGTGTATGGATAAGATGCTGGGGATACAGTTGATCGGGGAAGAACCGTTGTCGGCGCACGTGCGCCATAGCCGATCAAGACAAGTTGTAATCTGAGCTGTGTTCTTGTCTACGTTATCCCTGAGCTTTGTGTGGGTGCAAGTTGCCAGTTTGATCGTCATCTGCCTGTACGCATGCTGAGTGTCGAGGAAGACAAGTCTGATTGCAAAATCATTAGAGAAACTGCATAATCATGTGCTTGGGAGGGAAGATGGGGACCGGTGAGGAACTGGGGACAAAGCAGGAAAATCTCTGAGTTGACATTGGCTACATGCTTCAAGAACTTGATCAATGACTCTCTCTCTCTCTCTCTCTCTCTCTCTCTCTCTC